TAAAAGTACATATGACACACGGTAAATAACTTCTTTAATCAATCTGTGTATGTTTTAGCATGTTTTCCCATTTTACTGTTGATGATTATTATCTCAATCCAAGCCCTGACTATGCTAACACTACCTGGAATAACCCTGCAGAGGATACAGATCTTGCAACCCCGCTCTGCTGCTCTGATGTTAAAGCTGTACCATCTTATGTCAGGTTGCTTTATTTTTCCTGGCCTTCAGCCACCCCCAGTCTCTTACTCCCTTATCTGTCTCTCTGTACTTTCTTCCACAGTCCATATATGCAAAATCTCATTGGCAAGACAATCTTTTCTCCCTTCAGCATTCTACAACCAAACCATAAAAACAAACTCACAAAATTTAACAACCTACAAAAGGGATAACAGCTACTCCTTTCCATACAGCACCTTAAACACAAGCACATGAAAATGAAATTTCACTTGAATTCACTCAGTGGTACAGCTGATAGAAAACTTCAGGCAGGTCTCTTTTCTCAATCCCAGCCAAGCACTCTATCCAGCAGACCTTGTTCCTTTGGTAAATTTAATAATAACTAGAGAAAGATTTTTAAAAGCTGTAAAAACTCCACAAAATTATTCAGATTTCGTCCCTGTTACAATTTATTTTTATTTATTAACATACCTTTTCACACAGAGTATAAATTTTCACATGCAATCCTTTCTAGAATAAGGCCTAGAAAGTTACAGACACAATTAACATTAGCATGGACTGCATATTTGAAATTTCTTCCTCAATACAGCAAAATCCAGAAATTTAAACATTCCCCAAATTTTAGTAAAAATGAAAATCACTACAGCAAACCTGAGCACAGACTTAGAAGGACAGAATTAAACTTACATGTAATATCAGAACTGAAAAAATAATTTAAATACATAATTTATATTTCCACGCTAATATAATTAAAACATCACATGTAATATCACAAGAGTGAAAAATTAATTTAAATACTTCACTATTTAAATATCCACACTACTGCCTCAGAAATAAATCTCTTGGAAAGACACATTCCATATGCTCTCTTTGGTATCAAAGTTTTGAACAGAATTTAGATGCAGGAACAAAACAACAATGTATAGTATTATGCAGGTAGATCCAAACATCCTGCATATGAAATTATATAGGAATAAAATACTCAGTAGCTTCCAATAAAGCTACAGAAACAGCTGCTAGTAAGATGTCTGTGAAAGAATCATCTTTGTACTGAATGTTTAAGCTACTCAACCCTTTCCCCCACCCCCAACCACCTCTGTGGGTGAATAAAATACACATTATATCTCTTAACATCCAAACAAATGTACCCAACCAACTTTCAGGAAAGTAGAGCAAGATGCTTTTTAGTAAAAATATTATAACTAGCCCATCTAGATCTTTTTCTACTAAAACATTCTTAGTCTTGCAGTTATATGGTACTTCTGACTAGAAAAATCTGGTAAATTATTTCCAAATTAACAAAAAACCATAATTTTCCTTCCAATCAGACAATTTTCCTTTTGTCTGTGCATTGAAACGTAACCAATACTCATTTGAATTTCTTTTCTTTTGTATTATCTAATTGACTTTAGTTGGAAAAAATTCTTGGGGCAGGACTACAGGGATGGACAACACAACTCATTTCTGCAATTCCATTTGAAAATTATCCAAACAGCTTGTCACTTTTCTTGGACAAAAATGAAGGATACCAATGTCTGTTCCACAAGATAGAAGAATATCTTAAAAACAGACTATCCCAATAAACAGAACATATTAAATAGCTTCTACAAGATCATTTGTATTCCAAGCTCCATTAGCAATGCAGATAATGGGAATATTTCCTGCTAACTCTCCAACTCTCACAGGAATTCTAAGTCTTACTACCTTCACCACATTCTGCTTTACCAGACATTGCTGCCTATCCTATTATAATGCTAAATTGTTACTTTCAGTTATTAGCTATTGCTTAAAGAAGCAGCAAACAGACACGATTTTGCTAGGATTCCAGCTAAGAATATAAAGTGTCTATTCTGACTCTACAACACTATGCCTAAAACCTAGTAAAATCCTTCAAGAAAATTCATCTGTGCACAGGTGAATTTAAAGGTTGCTTTATTCCCCCTATTTGCCTAGAAACAAGATGCTCAAGATGGACAAATAATGAAGTTTTGAACAGTATCTAAATCTTCCTCTCACCCTATTCCTGCTAGAATGCACAGCAAATGAGCAAAGGAAAATGCTGACATCATTTTACCCCTATGGAATTGCTCTTACGTGGAAGAATAACAAATAGCAACATCAAAAGCAGTGGGGAATGCTGAAATATGCCTATGAAACAGGCATAATAAGGTAAGAGAAGTTCAGGGCCTCCATTTTTTCTTCTTGAGTCACATATGGATCTCTTTGACCCTTACTTTCCTTCCAATTGCACTGCTCATGAGCAGAAAAGCTGGAGGGTCATATACCCAACCCAAATTTACAAAATCTGTGGACTCAAAGGGTCTGAATCCCAATGGTGCCCCAAACAGACAGATAAAGTTCTGTCACTGTACACGTGTTAATATCTGTCAAGCAGAACATGAGGCAATGGTGGGGATATGCGCTGCTGAGGCTTTTAATGGCCTGTCTCAGGACTACCCCTATAATTGTCAAGTCTTTGAAAATAAATAACATTATGAACAGATAACATGCTACTCATTTTATTCAAGTCACTTACATCCCCTCTAATATCTCAATGGTGAAGAGAGAAGATTTTGATACCTATATGATATGCTTTATTGACTAGAAGAGAATGATTGTACACTACCATTTTAGCATATCCATACTAACAAGAAACAGCAGATGGAGGATTAGTACAAAATAAAATCTGTACAGTTACATGTCAAGTAACAGTCAAGTTCCATGTCATTTACTTTTGTAAGGCATATTTTTGCCTTAAATAATAAAGGAAAACGTCAATTACAGGCTACCATGGATTGTGAGGAGTTTGCAATACCTAGGGTTTAAGCACTGCAGTGAAATACTTTGCTTTACACAATTATCTACTGAATCATCACGAGTTCACTTTTGACAGTTCAGAAACCAAAGTCAATCGGCAATTCCTACTTCATTCCAGGAATACAGAAGAAATAGACAGTGTACAATAGAAACCATAAACATTTCAAAGGGTTTGAATGAAGAAAAGCAACTACACGGACCACAGAGGCCTCTGATCCCAAGCTTATAAATTACAGCCCAAATCACTTATACACAGAAAACATCAGGCTACAGGAATGCATTTTATTTGAAAGGAAGGACAAGCAAATCGTACTATTTTCACCCTTCAGATCAGTATCAGGTACTGCAATGAGTAATTAAAACAAAGACAAGACAGAAAAAAAAAAAGCACCGCACTTTGGCTTTCTTCAACTTTCATAACACGATTCAATACGTGTACACTTTTAATCGAGACGACACGACGAGAGGATGGAAACGAGTTTGCCGGAGCGAAGTGTCAGTTTGTGTCACTTCTGCATTCAGCTGTAACCTTCGCCAAACCTTGTCCCCCACCCCGCCCATCGCCCGCGAGAGGCCGCGGCCGGCGGTCCCGCCCCAGCGGCGCCCGTCTCCCAGCGCCCATAGGCTGCGGCTCCCGTCAGTCTGCCATCAGCCCAGCTCCGCCTCCTCCAGCAGCAGCAGCCCTAGCCCTCCTATCCGCCTTTTGCCTTCAATAGGCCCTAAAGGACAATGCTGCTGGAAGGGGAAAAAAAAAAAAGAAAAAAAAGAAAAAAAAAAAAAGAAGAGGGGAGCGAGCCCCGCCAGAGCGGCCCCCGGGGCAGCGCTGTGAGGCCGCGGCTCAGCCGGGGAGGTTTCCATCGGCCCCAGCCCGTCCCCAGCTCCCCCTCCCCGGTGCGCGGCCGCCGCTGCGCTCTGAACGCCCGCTCAGGATGAAAGGTCACGGCGTGAGCACCAGCCGGGCCCGGCAGCGCTACAACCCCGTCACCTCAACCTCGGGGTCAGACGGGGCAGGCGAGGCGCTGCCCGGATCAGGATCTCCCTACTCCGACCCCGAACCGCCGCATCCTCCGCTTTGCCGTCTGCTGGTGCCGGATGACACCGGCGCGGGCCGGCACCCGCGGCGGGTGGGTTCTGGGTGCCGCCTTTCCTTCCCTCCTTCTCCTCCCCTGCTACCTGGCGTGAACCAGCCCGAGGACACCGAGCCGCTGCTCCCGCTCCAGGCTGGCGCCTTCCTCCCGGCCGCGGCACAAGCCGCTCACCTGGCGCCGGGTCCCGCCGGGATGGAAGAGCGCGGAGCCGGCGGCAGCCGGGGAGGGCTCAGCTCCCCTCCCGGGCAGCGCTCTGACCGGGGCACCCCGGCCGGGCCCCCCGCCCCGCCCCCGAGCCCTGCCCGCCGCCGGCCGGCAGCCGCCCCCCGCCCGGCCCCGGGCGCTCCTGTCACCCCCTCCCCGGCCCCTTCCTCCCGCGCCCCCCGGCACGCTCCCGCCGCGCTGCGCCAGGCGCAACCCAAGAGCGGGACGCGCCGTCCCGGGAACCCGTCCTCCCGGCGGGACCAGGCCCGGCCCCGCAACTCCTCCTCTTCCCGGGCTGTTAGCGGAGCGGGCAGGGATGCGCGGGCCTTCCCGGCCGGGCCCCGAGCCGCCGGCCCGGCGCTCCTGGGGGTCCAGCCCGCCTGTCCCAACGCAGCGGTGGGAAGGAAGCGGGGGAGGGGAAGGGCGCCCGCCGCCGCCTCCCGGCTCCGTCCTCCCGTTCCACGGGCAGGGCGGCTGCCACTCTCCCTCCCTCCCTTCAGCCCTGCCCCTCCCTCTGCTCCCCGGGCCCGCGGCGGGCATTTACCTGCCGTGGTGGCGCAGAGCGGGGCCCTGGGGCCTCTGGCAGCCGGAGGAGGCAGCGGACTCCGTCCCGCTGCTGCCGTCCCCGAGTGAGGCGGGCGGGACGGAGCCGGGACCTGCCCCGGGAGGCGTTACGTAAACCGGCGGCGGCGGCGGTTCCAGCGCCACGGGGAGGGAAGGAGGGAGGGAGGGGGCCGGGCCGGCCGCTCCGTCACCCGGCAACGGGACTCAGCGCCCCGGCGGACCGCGCCGCCGGCTCCGCCCCGTATCCCTCCGCCCAGAGGGCGGCCCGGATCCCTGATCCCGATCCGTGGGGCTGCGCCGGGCGGGAGGGAAGGGGCTAGCGACCATCGCGCCGGTGGGCGGGAGATGACGGGACCGGTCTGCTCTGCTCTGTCCCGTACTCATCCCTGTCCCTATCTCTGTCGGCCGCAGGGCCCGGGCACCGGCGAGCCGCCTTCATGTCGGGGCCGCGGCGCAGGAAGGGCGGGGGGAGGAGGGGAAGTGTCCTTTGCCCTGGTTGTACAGCCTCCCGCCCGCCGGAGAGCGCCGCGCTGCCCGCCGGCCGCCCCGTGAGGGAAGCGGCGGGCGAGGCGCTCGGGAGGTACCGGGCGGGCGGCGGCAGCGGCGCCGGGCCGCGGGGCCGCCGCTGAGGCGGGAGAGGCGGCGGCCGGAAGCTCCCGCGCCCCTCCGGAGGGCTGTGCGCCGGGAGGGGAACACCCAGGCAGGGCCGGCGCAGGAATGCGAGGGAGGGAGCGGGGGATAATGATGGAGCGTAGCGGTGTTTGTCATGTGAGGTCCTTTTGAAATCCTGAACGACTCCGAGAGCGAGGTTAGCAAATAAAAGTTTATTTTACTGCGCAATGAAAGCCCGTCTGGAAGGGAAGTCGTCTGTTCGGGGATTGTTGCCATTGAAAGTCGGGTTTAGTAGGTGAGCTCCTCGGAAGCCGCGGGGATTTTGTTCCAATTGATTAAATGCCAGTTTAATCACAACTGTTTACACAACCGTGGAGTAATGAAAGGGTAACATTTTTAGCATAGTAGATGGATGAAAATGGGCCACTGTAAGGCTGAAAATATGACAAGACACACCAAAGTACTCATTAAGCTTCTTAATTGGGAAAATAATGATGCCCTTTTCAGGTGTACACTACCACCCCACATTTCTCAAATACATGAACACATACGGGCCTAAGGAAAGTCAATATTATGTAAGACGTCAAAATAAGTCTTCTGTCTGTGTAATCCTGAGGTTTTCTTCCTTTTGTTCGCTGCTCAACGTGTGGCTCCTAGAGTTCCAAAATGCAGTATGTCATCCATGTTGGCTCACACTGCTCCTTTTGTGCACAGCATCTTCAGTCAATGGAACCATGATTGCCTTTGAAAACATGTTCCCCCAGTACCGGATGTGGTCCCACTTAGGCCTTTCAACAAGTTAAGTCTGTATATAAAAAATACATCTCATAAGAAGCATGAATGCAAACACTGCCTCCCAGCCTATATACTCATTTCCTGATACAGAGCAACATTATTCTTATTTTTGTTTTAGCTAGGGTTTGCCAATTTTGAACATCCTTAGCACTTAATTTAGTCATAAATCTGACTTAGACTAGCCAAAAGTATGCAAGATTGTGTAGCTACATGAACTACCAGCATTCTCTTAAATGTCGCTGAGGCAGTAATTGATGTTGTATGAACATGCTGTTAATCAGTTACTTTCTCCAAACCTTGCAGGAGTATTTTGGGAGAAATCTAAAGAGAAAGTAGTGCTTTAAACTGTGTGATAAAAGGACAGAATTGTTCCCTGAACTATTTAATTACTGTTCAAGTTATTTTCTTGTTATGAAAAGCTGAAACTGAAAAGCTTTGGGGGAAAAATCCTGCTGACTGTTTTCTGCTGAGTCATTCCCCGGGTTTATCAGAAGCGTTTCACCACCACTGTAACACAACTCGCGCCAATCGCAATCAAATCTCCTTTTGTTCAGGAGCTCAGAATTTGAATCCCCCTTTTCAAGGTAGAATAAGATATACTAAAATATGAGGCACCTGGGATCTGTCTGTAGTAATAATTGTCACCAATTTAAATCAATCTCCATGCAGCCCTCTGCACATATCCTCAATGTATTAGTAATGTGTATCATCAGTACAAATCCACTCCATTTCACCCTTTCTAAACACTTTTTCTCTGAAGGTTTGTAGAAGGAACAGATGCTCAGAACACTGGTGTTCTCCTAATGGAGCAAATCAGAGCATGGAGGCTAATGACAGATTATTCTGAATATTCACGTAGTTGCTGTGTGACATTTCAAATTGACAGTTCTGGTTTTGTGGTCAGATCTCAGGGATCCCAACAGTGGAACTTTTTGTTTGTTTGTTGGTTTTTGTTGGGTTTTATTTTCCTAACAACCCAGTTCTGATCTCCATTTGGCAAGCATTTCAGAAACAGCTGGTACACGACCATATGCCGTGCTGGCACTGCTGTGAGCTTATTTCCCACTTGTCCTCCTGGTCAATCAGAGTAGCTCCATGTGCTGAAGGACAGCTGGTCCCTTGGCATGCAAAGCAGCTAATGAACTTTTCCTCCAAAAAGCTGTAGGGACAGAGCACGTGAGCTGCAATCAGTGGTTTTTGCTTTCTGAAGTGCTATCAAAGATGGAAGTTTTCTGTGGGAACCCTGTTTATTGCCTCTGTGTGACAACCTGCACCCTGAGAACAACTATGTGGGTGTGCATGGTAGGTGACAGCACTTGTTTGGAAAATGAAGGCTAAATGATCTGTGCTGAAAAGAATGCTAAACCACAACTGAGTGACTGATGGACTTTAGCTGTCAGCCTCAGCAAGTAGCACTGTTCCCCTTTTTCATTGTGATCCCTGCTAAAAGGGTCTCCAATAAATTTCTAAAAATGTATCCATTTCATAATATATTATTTTTCCCTTTTTCCTGAAAGAGAAATTGCACAGCAGTTCAGTATTACATAGCCTCAGTTTGTAAGCATTTTATTGTCAGCCATTCCTCTTACTTCCTTAAAATCAGTCCGTTTATAATATTCCCTAAAATTTCCTTGTAGGTGCAATAAAAATCCCCTGATTTTCCCTGAGCAGGGATTAAGTATCAGTTAGCTTTGAAAGTCATGATAACCAATCAGTAGACAATTCTCTTGTTCACAGTTCATAAACTGTTCATATAAAATGCTTGATAAAAACAATCTGCCCATTCAGCATTTTAGAAACAGAGCTACAGTACCATTCATGAGGGAATAAATGTAGTTCAAGAACTTAAAAGATCATCTAAATGTGCAGGATTTAAATATATGTGTAAAGTCATAATGTGTTTTTAAAAATCTAGGAAATGGATGGACGATAATGTAAACTGAAACAGGGAATATCCAACAGACTCATGATGAGTTTTATTTGAAATCTTGATGCACAGATTCAAAATTATAATTTTCTCTTTGAAACTACTTTTCTTAATTCCATGAAGGCTTGCCTAACTTTTTTACTTCTTTTCAGGATCCATTTCAGGTTTTGAGCAAAGACGTTCACACCTCCCAGAAGTAATAACTTGGTTCAAATGACACATTCAAAAGGCATTCCTCAGCACTAGATCAGGTTTCAGATTCCTTTTTACTGATCCCTCTTTCCTAATAATATCCCTGTGCTGTACCAAAAACCAAGCTGTACATACCCACAGAATCAGAGGACCACTCTGTTGTCAGCATCAAGGACCTCATCTACTGCAGTGAATGGAATGTGACATTAAATTTTAGTGGGGCTTTCATTAGGTCACAGTTCAACCCTTTTTCTTTCAGACTCCTCTCAAAGAGGTTTCAATATCTTTAATAGGAACACACTAGCGTGGTGAGCTTGGAAGATCTGAGTCACTTGAAAAATCAATTGCATAATTCAAAGTAAATTTCTTTTCTGTTTAATCCAACTTGATCACTATAACCTCAAAATGTATTTTTGTTTTCTTTGAACAGAAACTGCATGTAAGAAACTGTCGCAGAAACTGCAGATCAGGCAGTGCTGTTCTGTAACCAGTGTCTGGGCTTGGTGTTGGTATTTCTTTAGGACTCTACTTTTTAAAAAATTATTTGGCTTCAGTATTACTCTTACCCTTTTTCATCCTGCAGCACTAACAGTTGTGAAACCCTAATAGTACCTTGAGAAACCCTTGGATAGCCCAAAGTAATACATGAACAGCACTGTCTCAACATGGTGCTGTGTGCCTAAAACAGACCACCTGAGGTCTATTGTAAAAAGTACTCAGAGAAAATTATAAAGAACCATGATAATTGTCTGCAGCAGTTTGGACAAACAGCCAAGCAACACAAAAAGATTAGAAAAATGAAAACATTACACTACATAATGAATGTAAAGGTCCAAGTACCTAGATACAGCATTTGAAACCATACACCAAGGAATAGCTTTCACTTGTGGCGTAATGAAAGGACTACAGGAAGTACAGTGTTACAAAAATAAAACCATTTTCACAAGTGATGAAATACAAAGCAAGTATTTCATGCAATTGCATTTTAAGGACAATTAGTCACCATTAAATATACCAGTGTCTCAAAATCTGATCGTTTTTTGTAATGCATATGTAGAAGAATTTTATGTCATAATGAGGTATGAATTTAATTGCATTGTATTTGTTGCTACATCAGCTATTGTCAAGCTATTAAGTTAATTACATGTTAAGTTTTAAACTAGATGAAACACATTATGACATCTGTTTTTTCCTATATACTACAGCCATTCCAGAATTACCATGTTGGAAATGTCTGAGGTTTTGGCAGCTCACTGTCTTACAAATAGTTCATGAATACAATTAAACATCCTTGAGTAGCCTGCAGCATCAGCATCCAATCCTTGTCTTGCTCATCAGAGATACAACATTGTTCTACACTAATTCCACCATTTTTTTCACCAGATATTGACTGTATTCTCAGGCAGTGAAAATGCTGAAAACAGAGTTGAATGCATTCTCATAGCTGATGATCTGGCCACAGATTTTGGAATGAATGTACTACCATCTTTATTAATGATCTATAAAAAATGAAAGGTGAAAGAAACACTTGAAATTCTATTGAGTTCTTAAAGTAATTGCACTGAAGGTATTATTCTTTTCCTTAGCATTTTCTTAACAAGATATTCTATTGCAGACCCTGGTAATAGAAAAGTAATCCCTTGTGTATTAATGGCTTATTGTCCTGGCACTTTGACATTATGTTTTGACTGATCAAAAAGTTTTCTTATCTGATCCCATAGTAAAAAACTGCAAAGCAAAAAGGTTGCATGTTTTCAGATGCTTTAAAAAAACAAACAAAAAAAACCCAGCCTCCTCAAAATTGGTTTGAAAGCTGAGACTTGAAAGTGAAGGAATCTGTATACACGACTTACAGACTGTAGTAAGATTATTGTTGTTGTTCCTAGTAATGAAAGTGTTGGTATTTTTATTTGTGTGAACTTTTTTTATCTGTGTGGGAGCAAGAGGCAAAATGGCCATTGCTGCTTTCTGATAGAGCTGATGGGCTGGGAAATGCTGCCATTAGAAATAAATAGCTCCTTCTGTAGATATCAAAGGACTGTTAAGAGTGACTGATTAATACCAGTAGCCATTACAATGAGTTCATCTTCAATAGGGGAAAAAGTCAGGTTTGAAAAAAGCAGCATTTAAAAACGGGTATTGAATCCCAACCAAATATACTACTATTTTGATATTAAGGGGAAAAAAAATTGGCAGTACATGCAGAACTCTAGTATCTGCATTTCCAAAGCTGCTCTAGGAAGAGATTTCTAGCTGCTGTGATTGACTACAAGGCTGTCAGCCTGAAATAGAAACCATTTGAACAGCACGAGAGAAGGAGAGGGTATTTTTCTGTCAAGAAGTAGCTAATATTTCAATATTCTCCAACTAGACTGATATGCTCTCAAAAGTATATTTCATGATATTTTGGCTTGTAATTCTAACTGAATTAGATTAGATGCTCATTTAAAGAGTTACTCATTGGAACTTGTTAATGGGAAGAAAACTACCTCACTTTCCAAGGCTGGTTTATGTGTTTATGCTAAAAAGGTGTTTTCTCTCAATAGTTATCACTGTTGAGATGAAAACTACTTGCTTTCTGGTTTCATTAGCATTTTTTTTGTTAAAATAGGGTTGCCTTTTGAGTTTGATACTATTTCAATATCAACTGTGAAGGGAAAAAAAAAAGTAGGCGTGGCTTTAACTGGCTGAACAGAGATTGCTGTCTTGGTGTTGAAACACCCCCACACATTTTGGCAGTTGAAGAGGTCATGAAATAAATGAACATTTAAATGCCTAAACCCAGCCAGCTTTTCCAGGTGTAAAGCATTCATTTGTAGGGGTCATTTCCCCTAAGAAAGTTGGTTTTTTTTTCTCTGAGGCTGACTGCAGGCCATACTGTGTTCACATTACGTAGGGAGGAGGCACTAAAGACCAAGCTAATCAAGCTATGCAGGGTGGTACAGCAGAGGGGAATATTAGGTGGCAGGATTGGGCCACAAGTACAGATCACAGATGGGAGTGTAATCCTACAAGATGGATTGTTTGAACATTATTTGTTAAAGGGGTAAAATGACTGCAGTCACATTAAATAAGAGAATAGTTTATTTCTCAGAATAAATATTTTCCTCCTAAATGTAAATGTCAATATTCATGGCATTGAATAAGAATTGATAGCCAAAGGCATTGCTTTCTGGCTTATTGCAATGTTTTGATTTTACAGATTTTTATTCCTGGGAGCATACTTTCATAGATGCATGTTCTTCTGCACAATGAAGAGTATTTGACTTTGAACTTTTCCAGGTAGGAAATCATATCCTTAAGAAACCAGATGAAAATTCCATGCTTCACTCTGGTGCATAAAAGTGATTCCTGTATTTGGAATTGAAGTATTGCCGTGGCAAAAAATATTATGACAACATTTCTTCCATAGTCAATGAAAAACTATAAGGCCCTGTAAAAAGGAATTCAGGGCACCTGTGTGAGGCACCAGCTCCTCTGCTCTGACTGCCTACGTCTGCCAGCTGATCCAGCACTCCCACATGCTGAAATGGAACACTGCTTAGAGCTCATCAGTGCAAAACGTTTTTGAAAATCATCTGAAGAGTCAGCAGGTTTGGCTTTGCCAGAGCAAACTTTTGACACCAAGACATTTTTACAAGTAGGAGCCATGAGAGGCTCCCACTCTCACATCCACATGACTGTTCTCTCTTCCCACTCCTTAAAGCCAGTGTGGCTCCATCCAGGTTTCCTGCCAGGGATGGTTCTTGGCTTGTGCTACCTCCTGATGATGCTGGGCAGCTGTTGTTGGCCAGCTGTGCTAATAGTTAAGTACTATGTAGTCCTGTGCAAAGGTACCTGTTGATTTGGGAATTTATCCTGGAAGACAGAAATGTGTTTTCTAGGCCTAGGTCTAGGACCTTTTCAGTCTTGAGTGAGCTGAGCCCACCAATTTTGATTTTCCCAAGGAATGAGCAAATGGTAGAATGCCCAAGGCTACAGCTACTCTCCATCCCTCTGTTGCAGCTAGATTATTGTTCAGAAAGGAAAGACAGAACCAAGAAGAATATAAAACCAGACCCAAACTCCCTTTATCTTGTTGCAGAAGAAATGGCATGTCTAAAATTCTTGGGATTCAAACTCTGTTTCCATTTATATGTATGCAGTTTACCCAGTTTTGCACTGCAAACTGTGAATGCTGTCTCTATCTCATGGGTGAGTTACTGAGAGCTGAAAGGAGGGAGATGTGAACCTCATCCCAAGGTATTCTCTACACTACTGCTTTAGAGCAGTCTTCTGGAAGAGCTGACTCCACATGCAGGATAAGAGTGCTAATGTCAGCTGGGAGTACTAAATGGAATTTGGGCTAAATTCAGAGCTACTCATGGATGTTAGGTGTGGGGATGGCCTCTCTGGGGATGAACTTAGGCGTTTCTTTCTCAATTACAACTTTAAGAGTTCAGTTTGGGATACTTTTAAGTATCTGGAGGGGTGGGCTCTATATAGAAAATTTTGAAGTCCAATATGGAGACTCTAGTAAATTTTAAGCTCTTCCATGGATATTAGGTGACCTGAATAGCTCTCTTGGATTTTAGACACTGTGCAGACTGGAGCTATTACAAAACTGGCAGGAAGACCAATGAGCAGAAATAGGCTCTCATAACTGAAACATGTTTTTTACCCTCTCATCTTCAAGACATGCACATTTGGAAAAGTAAAGAAGGCAGTTTCCTTGCTTACAATCACCTAATTTTAAATGTGGGAGTAAATTTGTGTAGGTTGGATTCAACTCCTTAAGATATTTGATACATTTTCTGTATGTTTGTGTAGTTTTCCTTCTGTGAATGAAATTATCCACCTATATGATACTATAGTCCATGTTCCTTGTTTCATAGATTCACCACCAACTGCCTGGTAATATGTCAGTGAAAGTGAGGCATTCAACTGCAATTTATTTTCTAATGTAGCTGTGAAAGTGAGGTATTCAGCTGCAATTTCTTTTCAGCAAACTCTTAACTGACTTTTCTAGACAGTCACTGCTTGTCTTTATTTGTGACAAGGGAGTTTTGAAAACTGTTCCGTGAGCTGGTGGTAGAAAGTACTTCCAATGTACATGAAAAGTACCTCCTAATTTGTTTTACAAAGAAAATCTAGCAGTAGCTCAGCTGAAATTTAATAACTGCCTGGTTTTACTGCTGCTGCTGGTCTCATCCAAAGTCAATGGTAAGTGCTCACTTTTTTCTGGGATTGGTCTCGAATTTGGATTATGTGATTATTTGCATTAACTCTTCTGCTTTGTACAGAATTATGTACAGTTATGATACAGATGTACAGATGATAACAAGCTCCCATGATTTAGTAATTATTTTTTTTAAGCTATAGATGCAGAGAACAATTTAATTGCTTACCACCCCATTTCAGGTGTTCACCTGAGTCGTGTCTCACTGGGGGGAGGCAGGTTTTGAGTTTATGCAGTTGTATGTTAAATCAACATTCTTCTTTGCTTGTGATGTGGATTTAGGGAGATTTTTCTTTTAATTCCATAATGATTGGATTCTCCAGTGCACTGCTCTTGTTTTTCATGGTGGTGGATTTTGTAATACCAGCTGAGATTATATTCCTTTGGGACACCTGTCATTTGCATAAGGCACTGAAGGTGCCTGTTCATTTCAGCTAGCAAGTAATCTTGTTCCCACTTAACTTGAAATACATTGTTCTCTGTATCCTAATTTTGGCTTTTACAGTTACTTGTTTAATTGCATTTGGATTACTCTGCACCATGTTGTAATACATTATATTTAAAATCTGCAAGATAAAACATCACCATAAATAGATACATAGATATGGTCACAATGGAAACATTATGGCAGCTGGAGAGGTTGACATGATTTGACATGACACCTGTCAGGAGTATGTCATCCTTGGCACAGTGTGGTGCTGCTCTGCTGGTAAAAGCTCTGTCTTTCCACTGGTCCTACCAGGCTCTCAGGCTACCCAGGGCTGAATAGAGAGGTTCTACCAAAACATTTCTGCACTCACTGGAATGGTGGCAGAACTCTCCACAGACAGGGTCTTGTGGTATTATCACTGCAGCAGCAGCCCATTCTTAGAAGGTGTAAAGATTTATGAAGGTTCAAGCTCCGGCATCCTCCCCTTTTTTAACCCTTGAGCTGCTGGACTAATATGCCAGTGTCTCCTTGCAAAGCAATGGCAAATCACTCCTTCATGTGGGAGCAGCAACTTCTGCTGAGATTCATGCACCTCCCGAGTTTCCTTTCATCTCCATCCCAAGCTTGTACAAGATGGTAATGGTGGTATGACAGGAATTGTCTTTTTTGGCTGGAACAACACCCATGGTAGTGTATGATAGTTGCAGACAGTATCAGTTGCTGTTTGCAGTGGCTGAATGTCCTGGTAAGAAGTTAATGTAATGCCAATGAAAAAAATAAGTTTCATAATTTATCTCTTTGGGAAGGTTTTGTCACATATAACTGTGAATGCTCCTTTCGTCTTGCATTAGGGCTGTTTCTTTCACTTTCAGTCCCTTTTCCATGTCCTAGGATAATCAAAAGAGACATTTGTACACCTACAATATGAGGGACTTCACAAGAAGCCACCACAGAATATTTCCATTTCTATGACATTAGAAAACCTGATTCTGAAGATTAAGCATTAGTTAAAATGTTTAGGTTGCATTAAACAATGTGGTGTACATTTGGTTCTGTCAGATCAGAATGCACCCTGTAAATCCCTGTACCTGGAAGGTCTCTGTGGAAGGACCATGTGAGCTCTGCCATATTTTGACAGAATATAGCATATATAGAATATTCTAATAGTCTGCCACCTTCATCATGCTGACAACTTATTAAGGACTTCTAGAAAGCACAGAATAACATTTATGCAGCCAATTTGCAGTTCAGACAGATGTCAGGTAAGGTGCTACACAGAGATGAATCTACCTTTACTTGGTTAATATACACAAAGTCCTTATTTCCCTAGAAAGAAGAAAATACTGGTGTTGCAAAGTTTGTTGCAGAGGTGCATAAAAGTGAAAGCAGAAATCCATAAATATACATCCATATGCTACTATATATTCATGTCTATAAATTATATGGGGTTTTCAGCAAGGAGTGGTGAAGGATACATCTCTGCATTTCTCAGTATGTGTACATCATTTCCATGCATGTTTAAAGAGATAAACTGAATTCTTGAAGGTGAATGATAAGGGAGTGGGGGTTGTGGAGGACTGAGATAACACCAGGAGTCACCTGCAGGATATGGAAAGGGTGGAGCTACCAAACTTTCTACATCAGGCCTCACAAATTTGAATATTTAAGTGGTCTCAGTGTTATTTAATATAATTTCAAGTGTCTCATGATCTCATAAATTTCTTTTGGTGTTTTCCAATCACAGGGAAATGGCTTACCATGATAAATATTCTTTCACGAATGCATGTTATTAATCTGCCCCTTCAAGCACTGAAGTGTAGGCTGAGCCTTAACTGTGTGCTGAAGTCTTGATTTCACTGGGATTTAATCACAGGTTAAAGAGGTTTCCTGAGTTAGAGCCAGAAAGATAGTTTACAACTAAAGGACAGGAAGAAAACCTGTTTAGCTCCTAGACTGCTCTTGTCATCCATATATGCATGTTTACAAATCCATTTTCATACAAATCTGGGCAGAATGAGAGCTTGGTAAGAGAAGGGAGTACATCAGAGCCTGCCTCTGAATTTAATTGAACTGAGAAGTCATTGAATTTGGAGAATTGCTTCAAACCCATCTCTTGCAAACATGCTTTGGAATGCCCAGAAGATGCTGGGATGATACCCAAAAGACTGTTAGTAAAACAAAAGCTATTAGCATGTATCACAGTGTGCATCCTGGCAAACAGCTCAACAAAAATTCATATTGATAAAGCCAGTGGGGTCTGGGTCACCAGTGTTCAGGTTCATTCCTTTAAATATTGGAAAGATTTACCAGAAATTGTGTAATGAACCATTTTCATACCAACAAAGTTTTATATTGCAGAAAATAATGTATTATTATAATGCATAGATTTGATGGCATATAAAGAGAATTTCTTGCACTTACCAAAACCACAGAAAATAAAAAGAGTCAAGGAGTGGTCCATTATGAAATAGATTCAATAATTTGACAAAGAATGTATTAAAATGTATGCCTTAGATTATTTTCTCTGCTCTATCAACAACAAAAAAAACCCCAGAAATATTTCAAATGTAAAATGTGTGATTAATGGGCATAAATTTAGCTAGTATATACAAAATAGAGACAACAGTAAGAAAAATAGAGACAATTTCAATTAAGCAAGGGTGATCTGGACAAGCTCAAGAAGTGGGCACATGGCAATCTCATGAGGTTCAACACAGTCTAGTGCAAGGTCCTGCACCTGCTTTGCCTGGTGTCATTACAGGCTGGGGGATGAATGGATTGATAGAAACCCTGTACAGAAGAACTTGGGGGTGCTGGTGGATGAAGATTTGGACATGAGCTGGCAGTGTGTGCATGGAGCTTAGGAAGTATCCTGGGCTGCATCCAGAGCAGTGTGGGTGACAAGTCAAGGGAGCTGATTCTGCCCCTGTGCTCTCCACTCTAGCGAGACTCCACCCTGAGCACTGCATCTTGCTTGGGACCCTCAGCAGAAGAAAGCCATGGACCTGTTGGTTTGAAATGAAAGGAAGGGAGATTCAGACTAGTTGTAAGCAAGAAATTTGTTGTGATTAGGGTGGTGAAACACTGGAACAGCTTGCTCAGTGAGGCAGTGGATGCTGGATGGGGCTCTGGGTAATCTGGTCTAATGTGAGATGACCCTGCTCATTGCAGGAGTGTTGGGCTAGATGAGCTTTAAGGGTTCCTTCCCACCCAAAATAGTCTATGATTCCATGACTGTATATAATTTCTCATCCTGAAAATATTTTGACACATGAATAGTTTCATTTCCATATTGTAGAGTTTATGTAAAAGATGTGCCACATTACAGGTAATTATGCAAAGCAAAACTTTTTTGTTGTTGTCAATGTAATTGTAGTACACTAGTAAGTTTACTAGTACCTTGTAGTTTACTAGTAAGATGCAGCAAGGAACAAAGGGCTCCAAATCCTTGCTTAGTTTGTTAGATCCCATATTTGTGTGCTATTTTCTCTTTCCTAACTTTCAGTATATCTTTCTCAGCAGCCACCCTGTGCATGATGCATTCAGTTCACTACTTTCATGTGATATATCTGCTTATAGTGTCAGAAACAAGGTTACTCAGTGATTCAACCTAATGGAATTACTGGTAGTGTTTGGATCAATTTCTCTATAAATACATAGTGAGGGGAATCTTCAAAAGATTGCTGAACAGATTTATTGTCTCCATTTTATAATCATAAGTAGGAACAAAATGTTTTATTGAAATATTCTGTATGAAAGTTTGCTTTTATTTAACATGAAACTGAAAAAACATATTCAATAATTTGAAACTTTGATCTTCACTTGGAATCTGAATTCAGATTTAGATCCAAAATTAGTAATTGTCTAATAAGCAAAACTGAAGTTTCTGTCTGCAATGGTGGCTCTTGCACAAGAAAAGAAGGTGCAGAAGCGAGTAAGAATTCCACACAACTAATATACAGCAGTTGTTTGCCATTGTTATTTTTCAAATTGCTATGCAAACTGACTTTCTCTCATTTTGTAAAGGAGAAGACTGAGGCACAGAGAGAGAAGGTGGTTTACCAAAGGTTTTACAGCAGGCCAGAGTCAGGGGCCCAAGCAGAAGCCCATTCTCTGCTACCTGGTTCTGCCATCTGTCCACCAGCACCATGGTGCTCATCAGTGATCACTGGGAAACAGAAATCTTCTTCAGAGAGTATTAGCCAGATTTTGCCATAGCACAGGCCTTTTCTTATTCATATATAGGCATTGCTTTATCTGACTGGAAGAGTGAAAATGAAAGAAAAAATGAAAGGAAAATCCCTTCCATTTTCAAGATGAGAAACTGGGACATTATAGTAAAATGTATGCTGCCAGAAACATTTATTCTTCTGTGATCTTTTACTGTTTTCTTAAATGAACAGCTTCACTCCATCCAGCCCTAGTGATTCCCTCTTCATTCCTATGCAAAGAATCAGTTTAGACTGATTCAAGTACTTTCACAGGCAGCCACCAAATGAATACACTGCATTTCCCTGACTTTGCAAATGCTGGTTAGGTCACAAGTTGCTCAGACAAAAAGGTTCTATCGTAAACACCAGTTATTTTCACTTCTCCTCCTTCTCACAGGCAAGAGGAGTGAAATTCATCCACTGACATTTATTTGTGAAATAGTGAATCTTGTCTCTTCATACATCATATACCAAATCAACTATGTTAGCTATGTGAATTTTTACATCCCATTTAATTATGCTGTTTAAAATGATGTATGCTTACACTGGTATGAAGGTGTTTTACACTGACACTGGTTTTACTTCTGCTAGGAAAAAATAAGCTATTCTTACCCAGCTCCTACACTGGAGATGTACAGCTTTAACTGTACTGATGTAGTTAGGTCAGCACAACTCCCTATTGTAAACAAGGTCTCTATTGCACAGCTAAGGCTAGATGACTCGGGTTTGCACAAGGTCTGCCTGCAGAATATGCACAACCAGTGTAACTAGTTGTGTTTTAATAAATACTAATAACACGTGTCTAATTGCGCCAGTCCATCTCGACATTTCCTGCCTGCCTCTCACTGCATGACTAAGCGCTTCTCTCTCACCACTGAGCCAATTGCTGCCTGCACACTGTGATTAGGGGCAGTCCTGTATCATTTTCACAATTATAGTATATGTCATTTCATACTTGTGGACTGCCAACAAGAGAGCACTGTCCATCCAGAGGAAAAATACTGCCTGCAATCGCTTTCAAGGGCTGAGAGAGGCAAATGTTTACTCACAGGCACAGCTTTTCTGACCATGAATAGTCCCTGTGCTTTCAAAGGGATTAAGCCTGGTAGTAAGTATTTGCAGAATCAATGCCTTGATTAGCATGCTCAAATGGGTAATTTTGCTCTTTGCAAACATGTTTGAAGGATGCTAAAGCAGTCATATGATGGTACACATGCAGGTTAGGTCCTGGTTTGGAATTGCATTTTAATTTTTAAAAAGCTTTGGCAAGCAAACCTCCACTGTGATGTTTACTCCAAAGTGTGTTTTGTGATAAATGTAGTGGTCAGAATGTCACACAGACAGGTATTCCAGTAGAAACCTGCAAATAATCAGATGTGCAAGTAATCAAATTACAATGTTACCAAAACTCATTAAATAATGGGATCTAGAAACTATGTGTTAGATTTGTTACTGGAATGAACAGAAACCATTCATGGAAATTGTAGGATAATTAAAAAAAATTGTAGAATATGTGGATTTTAGGGAAAGAAAATTTACATTAATATCTTTTCTGCCTTCTTTTCCATCTCCTCTTAACATGCAGCCAATGCAGCCAGCTACTACTCTCTGTTTTTGCTCTGTGGTCTTGCTGTCATCTTTTCCTGTCTACACCCTTTCCATAACTCAGTGCAGCACTGGATCCAAGAAATCAGTTTTGCCTGCTACTATGAATTCTGTACTGTTTTTGAGTGCTTCTCTCAGCCAAAAATCAGTTCTTCAACTTTGGCTCTTCTTGTTTCATCCTACGATTAATCCTTCATAGGTCACTAGGGAGTTTAGCCACAGAGGAACTCACTTTCTCTCTTGTAAGAGGAAATGTCCTTGAAGGTGTCTTGAACCCTTTCCAGGGAGCTTTGGGAAGATAAATAGCATGTCTGTGCTGTCCACATTGATCAGCTGCAAACTTTGCACCTTCTTATCTTCCCTTGTCCACAAAGCCTGCCTGTCACTGTGCACATGCAAATGCAGCCTCAATGGGTGGCTCTGTAACTGAGAAATTCAGATGTATGTGATAGCTGCACCATAGCTCAGCTTCACCTCTTTCCAAGCATGGTTGATGCCCCTCCACTCCAAAAAGTTGTTGAGACCCCCACACTGAAGATGTACTTGGTGTTCGGCACCTGAATTATGAACACAGTTCTATATTTTGTGAGTGTGATTAAAAGCAGTCACATCATAGGGAACTGGATTTGTAGAAGATTTTGCAAAGGAGGTAAGTTATCCTACAGCAGTTGTGCATTGCATGAACTTAATGATGTCTTTGTTCTGTGAACTGTAATAATTAAAATCTAGTCCACAGTAGAATCAATAGATGGTGCCATTTATTTTCACTAATGTATGCACACAAATAAGAGTATAGGGAGAAGCTGTAAGTATATGTGATGAGGTGAATGAAGCCTTTGATAATACTTCACCTGTATTTTCATAGTTGAGGTACATTTAGGTACTGATAAACATCATTTAATGTTACTAAATTAAAATTAATAATCTGAAAAGGAAAACTGCTTAACAACAGCAGTTCGGTATAAAAATATCTTAAGAAGGGAAAAAGAGAAAAGAGCACATATAGGTAAGCAATGTCAGACTGCTGCACAAAAATAAACATCCTATGAGGATGTCATACAAGAAATGTTGTATGTAAATAAAACCAAACTATCCTTCCACACTACTTAGCTTTCTGAATGTTTAAACTTCAAAATTGATCATGTTCTTGTTTTTTTGCTGATCAATGGGAGCAGGAGTCCAAGGACAAGCAACAAGATTGATTGATTCCCTTCCTTGACAAGTCAGGACCAGAACACTAACAGATGCTGCAGAGAAGCTCACTGTGCACATTTTTGGCCCACATCATGTCCATCAGTGTAGCATGTTCATAAACTAAGGGAGTAGGATATTGTTGACCTGAATGCCACTGAAAGCATTTACACTCACAAGAAAAATATTTCTGCTTAACAAAGCAGCACATGACTTGCATAAACTGGGGCTGAAAATTTAGGATTGAAACATGCTAGAATATCCTGAATTGAAAGAGTCCCACACAAGAATCATCCATTCCAACTCCTGGCCCTTCACAGCACTATCCACAAGAGTCACACCATGTGCCTGAGAGTGTTGTCCAGAAGCTTCTTGAGCTCTGTCAGGTTTGATGTTGTGACCACTTCCCTGGGAAGCTGTTCCAGCACCCAACCACCCTCTGAATGATGAACCTTTTTCTAATATCCAACCTAAACCTCCTCTGACTCAGCTTCAGGCCATTCCCTGGGGTCCTGTCACTGTCACCACAGAGCAGAGATCAGTGTCTGCCCCTCCTCTTCCCCTCATGAGGAAGCTGTAACTGCAGTGAGGCCTCCCCTCAGTCTCCTCTCCTCCAGGCTGACCAGATCAAGTGACCTCAGCCACTCCTCCCCTCAAGGCCCTTCACTATCTTCACTGCCTCCTTTGGACATTCTCTAATAGTTTAATGTCCTCCTTTTATTGTGGCACCCAAAACTATCCCCAGGACTTGAAGTGAGACCACCCCAGTGCAGAGCTGAGCTGGAGAATTCCCCCCTTGCCTGGCTGGTGATGCTGTGCCTGATGTCCCCAGGACAGGGATGTCCTTCCTGGCTGCCAGGGCACTGCTGACTCTTGTTCAGCTTCCTGCTGACCAGGACCCCAAGGTCCCTTTCCATGGCACTGCTTTCCAACATCTCATTCCCCAGGCTGTCTGTATATCCAGAGTTACCCCCTCCCAGGTGAAGAATCTAGAACTTTTCCTTGTTCCATTCATATGGTTGGTGATTTTTCAGTCCTCATTTCTCAGGATCTCTCTGCAGGGCCTCTCTTGCCTTTGAGGGAGTCAACACCTCTTCCCAGTTTAGTGTCATCTACAAACTTACTTAGTCTACTAGGGGTATATAAGGGTCAGCATAGCATAAAACAACTTAAAAAGAAATTATTTGGGGCAATATTGAAAGAGTAAGGCATGTCCCTCCTGAGCCAGACTGTCACAAGCAGCAGCAGGCAATAGAAGACTAGACTAGGAGCCCACAGCCTGAGTTCAAGTCCTTCTGTTCTTGATCTGCTCAGCAGAGTGAAGAGGTCAGTGTTTCTCTTTGTTTCCCTTCCCACTGAAGTTCTAGGTTTCTCCTTTCTGAGAAAGATGTTTTGACCTTTTCGCCATCTTTGACTTTTTTCTCTTTGGAGCCAGACCATCTTTTCCATAAAGTTTAGCAGAATGTGTCTCTGGGTCTTTGTGTGAGACTTGAGACACTGCTGCAATTCTAATTTGGCAGGAAGGAAATGAATTTCGTTCTTAGGCAGGGAAATGATCCCAAATATATGTTAACATCTGAAACTTGAATTTCAACAAGTGGCTGTTTGCTTCTGGGGCATCTACTTCAGCATGCCATTGACTCCACAGGACGTGTGCTGGGGACTGGAGCTGTGCATATGCTGCAGGCAGCTTTCCTTTGGCTGAAGATACAGAAAGCTGGAGTGGCATTAACAGCTGCCTGAAGCACAGGTTACAGTAAAGTATATCATGTTCATATCATCATTGCATACCTTGGATTCCACTGGAAGCCTGAAGTCTGGGAGTGAGGAGAACTCTTTGGACCATAAATACATTAGCTTGGCGTGATGAACTATGTGAATTTGTCCTTCAGTTAAGGGTAAAGAAGAAAGCACTTTTATTCCACAGTCATATTCTTGAGACTGCTGTAGTGCAAATCAAGACAGGATTTTTTCTCTTGTCCCAGAAAACTTGGAGACATTTCTGTCTGTAACATATACTACTGAAATTCTCAATACGTGTATATATCTGAGGCAAAGTTAAATGTAAATCTTCATTCACAATCAAACTTAAATAATAATTTGTAAGTGTGCTTATATGCCTGCAATAATAGTTCTTTATTATTCAATATGTATTTTGTAGAGTATTGGCAATTTTTTTTAAGGGGGAATAGAAGAAAAATTGTAGAAACAAGTAAGAGATAATTATTAGAAACCCAGGGAAAAGAGAATTTTGGCTTTTGTGATGCTTGGACACTGTGGAGGGGAAATGGAACAAAAAGACACAGAGGATCAAAGAGGAGGGAAAAAAAGACATGATGCTTTTATGAGGGAAGGACTTTGCAGCAAAAGAAATGTTTCACCTTCCCTAATACTGAATTTTTCATATGGCCAAAATGAGCATAAGGAGGAAAATAAAGCCAGAGGTAGAAATCCATCTGACTGAGAATGGATCCAAGAGATTCTTCCGATGTTGTTGTTGAAATTCAGTACATAGTTGGAAGATACAAATTTTTAAAAATAATGCATATTTTAAAGTAATTATATCCACAACTACCAGAAGCAAGTCCAGCATAAGCAGAAATGCTTCACTGCTTTCCCTAATAAGGAAAAAAAGGGCATAATATGATGTATCTGATTGAAAATATGTCCTCTTTTCTCTCTCATTTGCTGTCAAAGTCTAACAAACTTATTTGCATTCACTTGTCCCAAAATTTCTGAAAATTTTGTCACTTGCGGCCAAGCCTCTGTGCCTTGAAACACAGCATTGTCAGATCATCCAATCAAAGTCTTAGCTGCACCATTTACTGTACAAAAATTGAGATTAAATAAACAAATTCTGGAAATAGGGCATTAGGGTGCTTATTTGCACTTGGAAATCACAGTTGTTTTTTACCTTAGCAGAAAAATTGCTCCGCAAAGCGATTTCCGACCCTTGATTCAGCACCCTGCTTCGGCATCTTTCCCAATCCCTGTTAATCCTGGGCATAAAAACCACCCGAGGCTACTGCATGCTGCTGCAGAGCACTGCACTGTGGGTCAAAGGGACAGCCCTTCTCACCTTTCTTTACTGCCCTCTATCAAACAAATGATTTTGAGATGTTGCAAACATTTGGAGTGAATAGAAGAGAGCCTGCCCCCACATGCAGAGTGTTTCCAGTGAGCGGCACGGGGCTGTGCAGGTTTCACCTGTGCATTAGCTTATCCGTGGGCAGTTCCAGCAAGGCTCAGAACATGAGGCCCCTCTAGCAGGGCTTGCAAAAGCTAATCCACAAAATGTTTCTGCTCATTGAGTCATGTGCTTGAACATGTGGAAATTAGAAACTAGCTGAACCTTTTTATCTAATTGCTAAATTGAGCTTTGTGTACTTCAACTGAAAGTAGCGGAGGGGCCCTTCCCACTGCTCAAGGTAGTTGTTGGACTGTGTGTGGGCTGAATGGGACATTTAAAACAGGTACTTCTTTAGTGCATTTCTCTGATAGAGTATATTGAGTGAATTTTTTTTTTAATTCCCATCCTGTATTTCTCTTGTAAATTTATATATGTATTTGTGCATGTTTCAGTGATGTTTGGGCATGAGTACCTTGAGGATATTTTTATACAAATGCAGGAGCACACATATTGACAGAATGGAATGTTAGAAAAAAAAGAAATATTAATGATATTTTTTTTTCTGTAAACACCAGTAATTTACAGAAAAATCCTCTGCAAGTGTTATCAGTTTGTGCTACTGTAACTATTACTATCAAATTAAGTAGGAACACTGCAGTAGCTCCTGAGGGCACTAATCATAAATCTGTAAAACTGTGAAGTCTGTGATACTTGCTGCAAGGTTATCAGTGGCTCTGGAAAAATGTGTTCTGCTGGGGAATGGGGGAGGCCGCCAGAGATAGCTGCTTGCTCTTTCTGCTTGATTAGACGCCCAGACCCTGACGAGAACAGCTGGCCTTGTCAAATGCAACATGCCAAGGCCAAACATGGCTGAGCATGGAGAGCTGTTCTTAACTCATGAAGTATGGCCCCAGCCCTGCAAGGACTGTGAGCACAAGCTCTCTGAGCTGTACAGGAGTATATGAGTAATGCCCAAGTCATCTAGCAATAGACACAGAGCTGGAGAGAACATTTAGGTGCCCACATGCAACTTTGTTATCTGTTGACAAATCTCTAAAATTTGAGCAGGACTGAAGGATTAAATGAGGAAACCCTTTTATAACTAAAAAAAAAAAAAAAAAAAGGCATTGACATAGTCTGAAACAGAGCTTCCCAGAGTCCTGCTAAGGCACTTGGTAGGGCTCAAGCTGAAAGATCAGCCCAAGCACAGAGGAAACTACTCAGTGAAGCCCTACGCACTTTCCCAGTGAGTTATCACTGTGCTGCAGCTTTGTAACTGCAGACAAAAATACCACCCTGCAGCAAGCATGCCATGAGTGAAGCAACACAGTTATTGATGCAATCTTGGAAGTGCCAGCAGTGCCTGAGGTTTTCCTTTTGGTTTCTCTGTGCAGAATCCAGCTCTGAGAGATCCTGACATTTAATTCTGGAACTCCCCTTGTGATATTCACACACTTCCCTAAACTGGATATTGCACATACTGAAACGAGTGTCTGTGCTTCGCTGATCATCCTGTGGGAAAATGCGTCTGATAAAAAAGTTTAGTTCCTTTTTCCCCTTCAATTCCTTCTGTTTGTACAAACACCATATTCCCTTGAAAATATGTTCACCCCAATCAGACCTTAAATTTCTACTCGTGGCCCCTGATTCCTGTTCAAATGCTCTATGAAGAGTTAAGTATATAAAGTGTTGAAGCTGATAAAATCAGACTAGGAAACTCTGACAGTTTCCACAGCTGTTTTTGCAGCGCTGGGCTGCATCCTCTCCGTGTTGACGAAAACACTCTTTATCCCGGTTTATTATGGCTAAACTCCCATGGCAGCCTGTGTGCTTCAGGGAGAGGGTGCCCCGTGACCTGGCAGGATCCCCGGGGCGATAACCCCGTCCCTGCCGGGCCCTGCTAATCGCGGCTCCCCAGCCACCACATCTGTATTCGCTGTTTCACAGAGTTCCTCTGCACAGCAGCTCCTTCCCAAGATCTCCTTTCAGTGCTGCAGGACTAGGAAGCCTGTCACAGCTCTCCGTGGTTACTTTGCAGAGCTGTTTCTGTAAATATGCAGCCTGAAAATACTCGGTTACAAACTCCCATCCGTGCAGAGCTATGGCCGGATTTGCAAAAATGTGTGGAAAAAGGAGATGAACGTTTTCAAGATTCCTTTACTGCTGTTGAAAATGAATCATCTATACATGAAAATTATGAAAACTGAAAAAATGGCACATTAACATACATCTAAAGAAGAACTGGATAACAATTATATAAATACCAAGTCTCTACCAAGATCTAAAACATAATTACAGGCTCAATTTTCTGACAGATGAAAGAGAAAATTTTACAGAAATTTGCTTCTGTCTATGCCTCAAACATACTGAATAAAACCTTTCTAAAACCTTTCTTTCTTTTTTTTTTTTTTTTGGTCCTGCTACACTGCTTCTACTAATCAGGAAAATTCAGTATTTTTTTCATAATGTCTTTAGTAATACAGTTGCTACTTGGAGAAGTATGGCAATAACATGATATTTCAACCTTGATGACTGGGTAAAATTAAAATGTGGGTGTGGTACAATAATTCAGGTTATTGCAAGTTTAATGAGAAATTTTCTTATGATTTTTTAAAATTTTAACTCTTTTTTTTTGTTTAAGTTATGTCTTTATGGTAAAGGCCTACTAATTTTTTTTGCTACCACTGCCTTGAGCCTTGTGACATTGTGCCCAGTGTTAGGGAATTTATTTTGAAAGTAAAACTGAAGACAGTCATCTCATTAAAAATGTTTTCTTGAAGGTTTTATATACAAATTTTAAGTGTTAGTTTCTTCCCTCCTGAGCAATTGAGGGAGACAGAACAGGATTTCAATTTTCAAATAAATGTAATCAGTTCTCAGGACTTGTCACTAAACTTAGATTTTCTTGTGGATTTTCAGCCTTCTAGGTGCCCATTCTAGCTGTCCCCTCTTCACATGAACTAGCAGGGTGGTGATCACTAGAATTTTAATTTGATTATTGTATGCTATGCTGCATTTTTGTTTCTTTTGTGATAGATACAGCAAAAAATGTGTCAGTCCAGGTTTTGCATGAAGCAGCAATTAGCCATTCCCAGGTTGGCATTAAATGGCTGTGTGGGCTGGATTCCTGAAACACCTGAGAAGTGTGCTGGTGCCTGATGTTTAAAATGTATTTATGTAGAGCTTTGCTGAGCGTGACAAAGCTCATATGAACTGCAGGACTAAGTGGCATTTCTGAAGCAGTATGGATGCTGCCAGGTCTGAGGATGCAGTGTGACAACAAGGTACCCAAATTAGAGGCAAACAAGGTCACAGCTAGAAAAGGAGCCAGGGCTGTGACCGAATTAACCTGCCATCCTCCCCAGGCTAATTGGCCCTGCTGAGAGTGAGTCTCATTAGCCCAGAGCAGCAGCAGCAGCCCGGTACCCTCTGCAAACCACAGGTGCAGTTTGGGCCAGGCGGGTCCCAGCCATGCACAGATGTTGGCATTTGCACAGAGGCTCCTGGTGCAGCCTGGTGTGGCTGAAGGGGACAGTGCTGCAGGTCCCTGCTGGCCCTGGGGACACTGAGGCTCCTCAGTGCTGCCCTGCTCCAGTCCCAGACACGCCCTGGTGGCAGGGAACGCCAGCCCAGAGGCATTCAAGCCCTGCTGCTGGCAGATCCTGAGCTGATAAACTCCACCAAGGCTGCCTGGCTTGGCTCCAGCCCTGGCTGCAGGAGACGTGTGGGACAAGGCAAAGTGGCAGATTCAGCAAGAGCTCAGGGCAAGGAGGCAGCAGGAAGGTGCAGGGGAGGGTGTGGAGAGACAGAGAGGTGGCAGTGATGGAGCCTGAGTTTAAAAAGTATAATCTTAGAGGCTTTTCAGAGAAATGAAACCCATTGGGGAACCTCCAGGAGCACCTGGTGGACTCTGCATGGACTATCAGGCTTCATCTTCTCTGTCCATCAAAACCAAGACTGGGTTCTTTTGAAAATCTGTCCATGCTGCACTGAGATGGGGTTTTCTGCTCAGCAAAAATATGCTTTGATAATTCATCTGATAAGACGAGAAAGACAGAAGGTAGTGAAATCTGAGGGAAAGGGAAAGGCAAATCTGCTCAGGAATGGGGCTAATCTGATAGTCCACCTGGACAGTGGACTTTAACCTGGGAGGAAAGGCTTTAATCTTAAAATTATCTTGGTACAGCACCCAAACAAAGTGTCACACAGCTGGGGCTGGTCATCACCTTGACTAGCTCTGTTTCTTCATTAGATGTTTTTTAAAAAAAATAATTCCTTCGAAACCCCATCCTAATATATTAGTGTTATTTCCAGTGTTGGAAATTTTTCATCATAGTTTTATCCTGTTGTGGAAGCACATTGTAACCATCCAACTACTAATAACATATTAGTTTGGGCCTCCTCCGACTAAGGCATCTTTGTACTTCTCAACAGAGAACTTTTGAACACCTTAATATAATTTTTTTCATGGTATCAGGCTAGAATTTGCATTTTTAAAAATTAACTAAGCTCTTCATTCCTTTGAATGTTTTAATTTCACACTGATGGGTCTTGGGGCTCTTATAGACTGTCCTTTAAATCTGGATTACATCTGTGGCCAGAATGATCCTCTGAAGGCTGAATTCCACAGTTCCCTCTTTGTGCCACACAACCTTTACCATTATAGGGGTTTGCTGATGTTCCTTAGAAGCTCTGTGATTTCTCTAAAGTCATGCTAAGCTGTTCCAACCCAGTGACTGTGCCACTGCTCAAGGTGCACCCTTGAGACACTGAGCAGGATCTCAGTGTAGATGAGATGCTGGTGCCTGAAAATGTCTAGGACAACATGCTGCCCTGAATTTCACATTTACATCAGATATGATAAAAGGATTTACCTCTGCACTTTAAGGGAAATATATTTTGGGCCTTATACTTTTAGACTGGTCTTGGTGCAGAAGAGACTGTGGGAAGGATTAAAGAAATATGAAAATCTGTTCAATAATATTTTATTTGTTTTTAACACCTGCCTTTTATGACATGTAAAAATCCTAAATTTTTGTTTTATAAGTCACACTCTCTTACGTGTAAGACATAAAGAGCATCTGTAGCACATTGCAAGACCATTCTGTCTGTACATTTGGCTGTTACCAAAGAAGAAGAATTACCACAGCAAGTCTTGAGCTGCTTTTATCCCTACACACTTTGAAACTCTAAGCCTTGGTAACTTCAGTGGGGTGAGAATAGGAACTCTAAGCCTTGGTAAACTCAGTGGGGTGAGAATAGGACTTTAGTGCAAAAGGTACTGCTGTGGCCAAGCATCTGTCCCACATAGAAGCAGGAACACAGCTGGAAGGTGTCTTTTGGGAAAGATCTGTGCATTCAATAAGACATGCACATAGGGCAGCATGTCAGCATGACTTTCTACCTGCTAAAGAAGCTTTTTCTGCCCTTTTGTGAATTTGCATGTGAGTGGTGTATGTTCTCTAAGCTGAGGCCTAATAAGACAAAGCAGTCCCTGGGTAATTTATTTTTCCTGGTTTTGTAGGGAACCTTCTGTCTGCTTTTCCATCTCTCTCTCAGTTCTCATTGACTTCTGGAGCTGTGTATCAGATTTGATAGAAACTAGCCAGAATTGGGTTTGTTAAATGTAAATTAGATTATTCCAGTCTCACAATATTCCTACAGTACCTGGAGTTTATGTCATTTAAGTTAGCTTGAGATTTCCTCAGTTTCTTTCTTTGTCTCCACAGATGTGAACATTGAATGCAGGACCAGCAGTGGCACTGACTGTCTGCAGAAAAGATGCTGGCATGTGCTGGGGAGACAAATGTTTGTTAGAAGAAATGGACTTGGAATTTAGCCCACAGCTAAACCTGCTTAGAGCTGAAGTGCTCTTGTGCAGTATAAAGGCAGCACTTTGACTTTGGCCTCTGTAGTTCAGGAATTATCTGGACAGCAGACACACAACAAGAGTCAAATCAGAGTGGAAACCTTGATGCTGGTCAGCCATTTATTCCTCTTAGCTTCTTAGAGTACAGGTGGCTTTTTTCAGCTTAAAATGATGAGATTAACATAGATTCTTTGGCTTCATTTCTCAGCCAGCAAAAGAGCAATATATTTACCTTGAAGGAAGAAAATATATTTGTTATGAAAAATACTCACCGGAGAACTTTGGAAAAAGAAAACGCGGTTTCTTCTTGTTTTTTTATTAAAGGTGGTAAAGCACAGGCTTCCTTACTGCCCTGTCATCAAAAACAATGGGTTTAGCTCTAATTTGTTATAAGAGTTATACTTATGCAGGATGTTCTCAGCTAATCCATCCAGCTACCAGCAAAGGAATTTCATGAGGCTTGGATGCTATTGGAGTTGAACAGGTAATTTATTTGCATCTGCATGATATATGTGCACTTTTGTTTAGTTCTGACATATAAAATAAACTGTCTTGAAAAGTGTGATTAATTGAGAGAGACATCAGGAATCAGGCTTTTAAAAAGGTCTCCAGCAATGGAGCTACACCACAACTGTTTTCCCAAAATGGAACCCCAAAATTTTCAACCTAAAGGAATTGAATCTTAGATGTCTCAAAGCTGGTCTGCTTTTACAGCCTTGCAAAACTTTATCAGGGAGGCAGATGAAAAGAAGCACTCCTCACAGTAAGGCAGATTATACTGTGAAAGCAAATGTGTTAGTGAGTACCAGGGAGCTCACAGGAGGGAGGAGAGAGCTGCAGGAAATGTTTCAATCACTGCCTGCACCTTATTACACACATAATAACCCAGTCAAGCACACAAAGCCCTCTGAAATCAGCCTTCATATGATCTGTCATTTTCAAATTCTTCATTTGTCAGACATCCCTCGATCCCGGCTCATAGGCCAGGGAAGCTGAGGCATCCTCTGGAGCACAGATGTGTTATTGTGTTATTGTGCTGTGCTCTGCAGGCACACATGGAGCACCTGCTCTGTGAGCAGCAGGGAGTGATGCCAGGCTGCCTGGGGACCAGCAGCCCGCTGTGCAAACACAGCATTCTCCTGATTTTCAGCCCTGTGTCCCCCTGCCTCACCGTATTTTTCCTTGGGGTTCCAGCACTACCACAGTCAGTTAAGTTCAAATATTTTCAAGCTACCTAAGAATTGTTTTAGATCTCCAGGTGACACTGGAAGCAATTTGATGAGTTTCCTTTCCCAGCAGCTGGCCAGCAGTTTGCTGTTGAGAGAGAAAATGCCAAGCAATGACTCCTCTTTTTTTATCTGCTGTGCAGCTTTGAGAATTGGAGCTTCTGTCCTCCACTGAAGACATTCCCCCCAGGTCCCAGTCTCCCTCTTTCCTCCAGCAGCAGGACCCATCACTGTGAGCTTTGCCCCTTCCCCACCGCCCTCTGCCCCATGGGGTTCTGTCTCTGGCCCTAAAAATGGGCATGCAGAGGATGTGCACATTTCCACCTCTTCTCAGACAATGTTAAATAATGGTGACTGGGATCATTGTGAATTAACTTCAGCAGCATTGTGAATTAACTTCATTGTGAATTAATTTCATCACTCCATAGTTTGGGTGCAGTTATCTGGGCAAGGACCACAGGCACCTTGAGTTCCAGATCAGAATATTGTGCAAGTTCATCTGTCCACCTCCACTCCTCCACTCCTCTGTGTGTTTGTGTGTGTGTGTGTTTGTGGTTCAGGGCAGAGGCATGTCAATGTGAAACACCCCACAACCCACAGAAGGGAGAAGGGTTGGTCAAATGCATCTCTGGGATGGAGGGGGAAGCCAGAAGAGCACTAACTGATTCACACACAAATCAGCAGAGTCCACTATCACCCAGCCAGATTACTGAATTATCCATCCTGAGTCTGGACAGTTTCCAAATTCTACATTGCAGATTCTGCCTATCTAATTAAATGTGTTTCAGAGGCTTGCCTCACTGCATGCCTTTATTTTGCAAAAAATGTAGGAAAAGAGGCAGCTGCCATGCACACCAGAAATCCTGATTCTGCTGTACTTGGGAAGGCTGTACAAACCTGGCTGATAATTAGTGAATAGATACCTCTATTAAATAGAAAAAACAAGAATATATTCAAGGCAAGGTGTTTGAGATTTGGCTGCAGATGCCATGTAAGATTGCAGTTATTTCTAGTTATGCCTTTCAGGGAGCAGCTCCATGTCCCCCAAAGCCAGGCAGGGCCCCCTAAGGCAGAATGTTCCTGGAAATTGCTTTAGCTCCTTTCTCATACACCCACCCCTCAACAGAAGCAATTATCTGAATATCTTGAGTCAAAAGGCTTTAAGAGCAGATCACAACTGCTGCACATATTCTGTAGGGGTCTTACAGCACACATAAGTGCTCTCACCTGCCATGGGCTATTCTCAGGAGGGTGTTAGAGTGGCAGACTTTGACAGTCCTTCCCAAGGTCAGGAAGGCTTGGGCAGACCTCTGTCCTGCATTAGCCAGCTGAGCCTGCAAGCTGCTCCTTGCAGAATCTCCAGCAAAGCCCATGGGTGTCCCTTGAACATGTCCTGCACCTCCACCAGCAGCAGCCTGCACAGAACCCCTCTTCTGCACTTCTGCATCACCCCTTTACACAGAAATGGGGCTGCTACAATATATTCTGAAGAGAGAAATATTCCATAGTTGTGGCCTCCCAGGAGAAAAAAACACGTTCTTTAAATACAAAAAGCAGATTTATTACATGAGAAAAAATGCAGGGTGCATTTTGTCACTATGTTTTTATTGCTTTCTGATCCAGAGGGAAAATATTTTATTACAGCAGCAGTTGCCAAGTCAACTGTTGTGTCCCAGCCATCCCCACGGAGGGGGCAGCATGTCACCTGGTTGTGGGCACATAGTCTGAGGGGAACAAGAGCTCTTCTTAATCACATATCACCAGTTTTAATACAGCTCTAGCTTTTCAGCAGTTATTTACAGGCTGGTTTATGACCTGTTGTGACATTGCTCTGGATTTACTCCAGTTTTTAGTAGGCAGGAACTCACATGTTTCACTTTTTTTTTATTGTCAACCACAAGGCCTGAAAAAGCACTGAAGGTGGACTCACAAATTATCACAACTGTGCCTATAAATGATGGGAAAAGACTTGTCATCCCCTCCTCATTGTCTTGGAAAGAAATCCTGGTCATTCAGTTATTGTATCCTCTCAGATTTCAGGATGTGTTCACCAGGATTTCTGGCACAGCCTCAATGTTCCTGCTTAGCAATGTAGCAGTAGGTACAGGCATTTGCTGCAGCTTTACTGTGTGCTTTCTTATTTATGACCTTGTCCTCATGCTCAGCACTGGAAATTCTCTCTCTGACTCTTCCATACATCAGCCTGAAACAGGTAATTTAAAAATGCCTGTTCTACTTTCTGTTAGCACAGCCTGGCTCTGCAAGAATAAATCTCTTCCAGTCCCAGATGACTACAGAGTGTAGATCCAGGGCCCTCCTGGGAGGTCTCCAAGCATCCAGGTTTAGGATTTGTTGCCTTAGTATCCTTGCTGTGTTGTTTCTTAGCACAGGCACTGTAGGTGCACCCCCAGCACTGTTTCTGCATCCACATCTGCTGGCAGCAGGTGAGCCTGGCCCAGGGAATGAGGCACTGCCTCACTGGCACTGCCTTTCCTGGTGCTGAACTGGCCCAGGGAATGAGGCACTGCCCCACTGGCACTGCCTTTCCTGGTGCTGAGCCTGGCTCAGGGAATGAGGCACTGCCCCACTGGCACTGCCTTTCCTGGTGCTGAGCCTGGCCCAGGGAATGAGGCACTGCCCCACTGGCACTGCCTTTCCTGGTGCTGAGCCTGGCCCAGGGAATGAGGCACTGCCTCACTGGCACTGCCTTTCCTGGTGCTGAGCTGGCCCAGGGAATGAGGCACTGCCCCTCTGGCACTGCCTTTCCTGGTGCTGAACCTGGCTCAAGGAATGAGGCACTGCCCCACTGGCACTGCCTTTCCTGGTGCTGAACTGGCCCAGGGAATGAGGCACTGCCCCTCTGGCACTGCCTTTCCTGGTGCTGAACCTGGCCCAGGGAATGAGGCACTGCCTCACTGGCACTGCCTTTCCTGGTGCTGAGCCTGGCCCAGGGAATGAGGCACTGCCCCACTGGCACTGCCTTTCCTGGTGCTGAACCTGGCCCAGGGAATGAGGCACTGCCCCATTGGCACTGCCTTTCCTGGTGCTGAGCCTGGCCCAGGGAATGAGGCACTGCCTTTCCTGGTGCTGAGCCTGGCCCAGGGAATGAGGCACTGCCTTTCCTCTGAGCTGGGGGCACGGAGGGACAAGGACAGCTCTGCCCTGCCAAGCATTCTGCAGCCTCCATAGCTGTGCTGCTCCTGTTCTTGTGTTTCATGGGGCACCAGGAGCAGCAGCAGCAATGATATTGTGTTTTTAAGGGGTCCATAGCTTGTCTGGATGAACTGAGGACAGAAATGCAGGGTGATCAGTATCATTTATGGCTCTGACTAGGATACTGCTGTGATGCTACCAGTAAGCCATTCCCCCACCATCTTGAAGCTCCAGTTTACTAAGCCCAGCATTTATGAGCATGACTTTGTAATTCTTTCCCCACTTATATTGAAAAAAAATCCCAGACTGTTTTCTTAAACTAAATAATGAATGAAAGCACTAAGACTAAATTGGGTCTCCTCAATTTCTCTGGAAATCTCCTCTGCATGAACCAGGAGAATAACCGAGAACTTGTTTTAATCCAACTTCTTTTAACACTGGAGTTTGCTCAGTATATATTGCTCCATAGTGAATATGCCTGCTTATTACCAGATATTTCCTTTCCCCCTTCACTGCTTTCTATAAAAGCAGAGTCTAATCCTATCTGCTGCTAGAGAAAAAAGTTATCCTTGCCCCTGAAGTACAGGCTTTATTCTGGGGCTGAGAGAAGTGAGCTGTAGAGAGCCCTGTGTGAGGAGAATAAAGGTACAGAAAACAGCTTTTTGGGCAATATTAGTGTATCAGAACTGCTAGTATCCAAGTTTGCTTAATTCTCTAGTCTTTTCTTTTGGTTTTAAAATCACACAGATCACACAGGAGGATTCTAGATGAAGGGCTCCATTTGGGAAAATAATCAGCTATTGCTCAAAGTAGGCATGGTTACACACTATTCCAGCAGGTAGCTGCTTGGAAAAAAAAAGTGTGTGCAAGTGCATGTACCAAAAGCACATGCAGAGTGTGGGAATTGGGGCAGGAAGGGAAGGAGCTCATGGGACTTTCTGGCTGTAACAGTCACTTCACGTCCTGTTTGCTCATCAATTGACAAAAGGGAGGAGAGCTTGAGGAAAAAGTTGAAGTATCCCATCAATCACAACAATCAAACAAGCCCTGTGGTCCATAGTGCTGGGAGCAGCTTCTGGTTTGGGTTGGGAAAGAAGCAGTGGGATGGCTGAGCAGAGAGCACAG